ACAGTAGTCAGACGTGAAGAAATAAAGAACATTTTCAAAACGGATTAACGCAATACCAATTGTAAATACGGTAGCCTTTAAGCTAGTGCATAATTGTCTATTTTTCTTTATCAAATAACTGACCAGAACAATCTGTATCCCTGTGTATTCAAAGTAAATTGAACGAGCATTGTACATTGTTTGGGCACTAACCACAAGTTATAAAAATTACACATGCTGTGTTTATAACCTCTCAGTTTCTCCAAGAAGGTATACCGTAGAACACATTGTTTATCGTCTGAAGGTCGCAACTGGTATATACACCTTAATAACCTGTACCAAGATAGGATAAGCTGTATGTAATTAAGTGGCTGGTAGTGCAATAACAGGTATAAGATGTCTAACTGAAAACGAATATTTTCAACAGAGAAAACTGAAAAATATAAAAGAAATCTATAATTTATTACCAAAAAATGAAATAATATACTATTGCACTAGGGAAATCATCTCAGCAAGTTTTGAAAATATTTTAGCTTAGTTCGCAGATATTTTCCCATCCAATTCCTTGAATCTTGATCTGTTGTAAAGCGTTAAGTTTGCGCGAACTATATATGGATCTTGCGAAACAGTGGTTGACAGGAAATTCGACGTGACCTGTCCTATCATCTTTTATCTTACTATTGATCGAAATATGAGTTGTAAGTTGAAAGAACTTGGGGGATCAAAAATTGTCAACTAAAAGACTGACCAGTGATGAATTGCAATTGCTCAGATTATAAAATAAAGATTTGAGCTGAGTAATTTACCAAGTTGTGAGATATTAAGCTAGGAGGAATTTTTAAAAGGATGTACATGGAAGCCTTCAAATCGTATGTGGAGAAAGAGAGAGAGAGCGAAAAAGAAGGACTAAATATACAAAATATGATGCACAATAACATAACGGTGAAGTTCGAATGTATCTAGATAAAAACAGCAACTCGTCACCTAGCTGATGTTTAGAAAAAAAAAACTATAACTTTCGCATCCGTTAATTTTCACGTTTGCTGCAGGCTCTTAATTGAAATAAACATTTCTTTGCAAAAACCGAATGATACGAGTTCAGTTGATTGTAAAAAAAGTTCAGAGGTATCAAGAAAAAACAGCAACTCTTCACACAGTTGAATATTCTGTGAAATAGTTTAATTCGAATCAGATAATTGTCACTCTAGATTAGGCTATACATTGTTTTTCTACTGTGCGATATTGTATAAAGATATGTGCAAGTGTATCGCGAAAAAATAGCAACTCTTCATAACAAGTCAAGTTTATTCATATATAGTTCCATTAAAGTCACAAGGTCACAGATTATAGTTAAGAACGCATGTCGCCATAATTCCGACACTGTAAACTTTAACGCCACATTACTCGTAGACTGGCGGGCACGTGTGAGTACAATGTCTGCTAATGGTGCAAGGATCTTGGCACGCTATACCTGTAAACGAGAAATAGAGTAACTGGTATTATTCTGAACTCCAGGAACGTGTTCGGCGCGAAAACAAAAGCTATTTTTAAAGGCATACAACGTAAGGGTTCCTATAACATTCATTATCTATAAACATGCGGAACGACCTTTATTGATAGTGTGTACAGTGGCTTCATTGCCACATCGAAATAAGATTATTTGGGTAATCCATGAATTACCCCATAAGATGGTTGCACTGACTATAGGATAGAGTTCTAGAAAAGCCATGGAATATTTATTTTCACATAGAGAATATAAAACTTCTGACCAAGGAGAGAAAAACCATTTCCCCTCAAAACAACCACCATCACCAATTGTATATTATTTCAAGCAGAATCATAAAACATGTTAATGTCATTCCCATGATTCCAGTTTACCAAAACCGAGTACCAAATACGCAAATCGGTACGACTGTCATCTGTTAAATATACAATGTAGTTTGTCTTTCAGATCCTTGACAGTAGTTTATAATGTAATTATGTATTAAATTAATGAACGACCCGGAGTTATAACATGTACGGCGAAATTGAAATGCTCTGAATTAAGAATTCACTCCCTCAGACACTTATCGCATGTCACTCAGACTTTCACGCACACATTCAGACACGTAAAAGTACACAAACAAACACTATCTCAGGGAAATCTCATTTTGACACTACGCTTTCACACTCACACACTTTATTTTTCCCTCACCAGCGTACACCCACATACTCTTTCACACACTAACACTTTCTCCCTCCCTCTGACACACCTATGGCTCGCGCACACACCTCTCACACGCACCCTGTCTCTCACTCACACTATCTCTCACGGCACATTTTGTGTCTCTCACACACTGTATCTGTCACACACTGATATATCCTACACACTGAATATCTCACACACTGATACCTCCTACACACTACGTATCTCATCCACTGTGTCTCTCACGCAGTGTACATGCACAAACTCACACACACACACACACACAAACGAAACCATTCAATACTCAACACACAAAAGTCACTAGACAATAGTTCATAGCCAACGAGAGAGTAACACAAGACATTATTTGTTTGGCTAAGACAATACTAGAATTCTATTCCATTACAGAGTTCATCAGAGAGAACCAGTTTATTGACAAAAGTCTTCAAGAGGATGGCACTGTTACCTTTGGTGCCCTTAAGCTTATTTAGGAAGAGTAGACTAATTAAAAGAAAAATTACGGAAGCGTATTAGGGCCATCCTTTTTTTTCAAATTGTCGACTTTAATCTTGGAATTATTCCTACTTTTAATCTTGGAATTATCAACTTTAATCTTTGAATTATCCATTTTAATCTTGGAATTTCCAACTTTAATCTTGGAATTATCAACTTTTATCTTGGAATTATCAACTTTAATCTTGGAAATGACTGATTTGTTACTTCTAGCTCATAGTTCATTGTATTTCTCAATATATACTTAATCTACTTATAATTCGCGGCTAAATTTTTGATAAAATGTAAAAGAAAAATAGGCCTGTATCTAAAGTTTTGTATAGCTTCACGTAGCCATATATTCATGAGGGGTGTAAAATTCCTAGTAATGGGTATACGCGGATATGCCAAAAATATATGTCATAATTTTGCGATATTTTATTTTTATGACACTACTTTTTAATTTGTTAATGACATACTATATTGATATGCATTGTTCTTTCATAATTATATATTGATTTGGGGTATGTTCTACATATCTTAAATAAATATGTTATTGGATATCTTATATTAATGGCCAATTGTGGTATTTGAATCAATCAGGGACTTTATATTTGCATAAATATAAAGTCCCTGAATCTATGCATTTAAAAATTAAAATAATGTCTAAAAGTAAAGGTCATTCTTTGTTTATATTTATATATAAATTTAGGTACCAAATATTAGTGAATGATATATACAAATGGGTACATTTTTCAAGCCAAAACATTTTGAAGTTACTCCCGCCCCCTTTCCGTTCTAATGTCAAAATCTAAATATCCATTTGTAATTGTGTATGCAGAACATATAAAAAAGAAGATGTGGTATGATTACCAATGAGACAATGCATTTATTATATTATTTTGCTGAATAGGCGGATGTGCATCGATATTTACAATAGCAATCACCAACAAAAAGTAAATTAAAGCACAACTGAAGTGCACTGTTTGGCAGAGGCGAGAGTCCAGTGAGCCACAAGTGACGATGTTCTCAGTTCAGAGATTCACTAGGTTAATGAAAGTCGGAAAAATCAGTATCGGACTAATGAGGGTCGGAAGATTGAAGTTGGAATTTCCAAGTTTAATGTTGATAATTCCAAGATTAATGTTGATAATTCAAAGATTAAACTTGAAAATTCCAAGAATTTAAGTTGGACATTCCAAGATTAAGTTGGAAATTCCAAGATTGAAGTTGATTAGTCCAAGATTAATGTTGATAATTTCAAGATTATAGTTGAAAATTCCAAAATGAATGTTTGATAATTGCAAGATTAAAGTTGGAAATTCCAAGATTAAAGTTGATAATTCCAAGATTAAAGTTGATAATTACAAGATTAAAGTTGGAAATTCCAAGTTTAAAGTTGATAATTCCAAGATTAAAGTGGACAATTTAAAAAAATAAATAAAAGAAGGATGGCCCAAATACGCTTCCGTAGAAAATGGATACATGTTTAATTGCAAAAAACATTATACATGTTGTGGTATTCTGACATTTTAGATTTTGAAATTCTACTTGTAATTAAGATCTCAATTTATTTAATTTTCATTTGCATTTAACTTGTTTGATATTCTATCACTTTTTGTATTCAATTAATAATAAAATGTTTAATGTTTTGTATTCTTAAAAAATATTAAACGCGATAAAATAAAGTGCGCTAACTATGTTATTATTTTATATTTCAGTGAACATGTATTTAAACCAAATTACAAATATATGACTTCTAGCACATAGTTACTGTATCATACAGGTTTTGTAAAGGATTAAAGGAAACAAGAAAAAATAGTAATATTTTTTTAAATCCTTCTGGGTGGACAATAAAAGCATAAACTTACATAGAAAAGCGGAGCCAGAAAGAAGTATTACGATAAAACGGGGTAATTTCTATCTTACTTATATGATTTAAAGAAACAAAAGAAATCATTAAAAATATTGAACACCAACGCCAACAGCACAAAATACGAAATACTGGCAACTAACTCGATAAAAAAGCAATCATAAATACGAGAAAAACAGTATAAATAACTTACCTGAACTATAGCACTACCAGTTGCAGGCACAAAATGGAGAGACATTACATTCGATTCAGACTCTCACTGATTTTAGTGTATTGTCATCTTAAATGATAGAAAATAATTATCAGTGAAATTTGTAAAAAGACACAATGATTTACAATGATAAGTGTCCATAATTGTTTTTCATCTGTCAAGTTTGGTACATTTAAAGTTAAGCGCCATTAAAACAACATAAGTAACACATGTTTACATTAACTGTTAATATATCGAACCAGTTTATATCACGTGATCGTCTCTCTTGTTTACCTTCCAGGTTGACATACTTCTTCAAGTTATGAAAGAGTCTTTTCTGTTCTCGTAGATCAGGTAACCAATTCCTTTGTTGTATTTTTAGATTAAGCATAACGATAGGGACACATATACCCATGTTTACGTCCCGAAATATTGTCGGAGTACAATCAAACCTGTTCACCTTGAATAATTTGGTTAAACTTGAGGTCCTCTTCGGTTTCATCATTTCTTCAATGTTTGCATTAGGTTTAGATATTCAAATATGTCGGCCTCGAGCATTGCTAAAGAGACATTAATTGTCGAAATGCGCATCTGGTGCAATAAAAAGTTTACCATTAATTTTATTTTAAAGCAAACTAGAACACACACGTGACATGTCGAGGGTCTGTGTCTGAATTAAGTACCTATGCCTTATCTTTAGTCTGGAATATTAGTTTTCAGTTTGTCATCTGATAAAATCATGCTCATTATAAGGTGCACAGTTCTCTCTGCATTCAAAATATTTCTGTTTGAACCGTCCTGGCTTGCTTACAACAATAATTTACTATAAAATGAATTTAATTTTTAACAACTTATTAACCAAAATTAAAAGTGGTGTTGAGGTGGAAGAAAACTAACTTGTTGAATAGTGTACAATAGTGTTACATATATATAAAACAACTACTGCAAGAATTCCAGGTTCTCCTAATAGAGGAGGGATTTACAGAAGGTTATATGTATATACCACCGGAACCTACATGTGACTCACGTGACAGTACCCAAATTCCGCCTAATACCCAAATTGCACCTATTCGGCAAAAATAGCACCGGAAATCATACAAATTTTCTTTGAGACTAAACACTTTGTATTTTTATGATTTGACATTATACACGTCTTTCAACATAGCAAAATATATTTAAATATACACAAAACGTTCACGGTATATATAAACAGATGAACTATTTACTTGACAAAGTAAAATCTATTGAAACGTCGCCATTCGACGTCCACAAAAAGTCATCTTTTAAAAATAAGCAAATAAAATGTGTTACAAGCATCCATTTCTTAAAAAATAAATAGAATAAGCATGGACTAATGTCAAATTGTTCTAAATATTTAAAGAAATAAAACAAAACATCTGTTATTCGTTTTTTAAGGATGTGAATTTAATCATGGATGAAATTTGGGTACTCATCATTACGGACTCATAGGTCGTTTGGAGGTTCGTTCAAACCCATTTTTCTATGATTCAATATGGATTCAAAATTAAATTGGTGTAACTATATAGTAAGCAAGGATACATCTTCAAAATAAACACAGAATGGAAACTTTTGTTGTACTATTGGTATTGGCATTTATGAATAAAGGAAATCAATCCCAATATTAATCAGTTAATTGGAATAAAATACAAAGTGGAAAATACAATTTCTGAAAGTAAATACAAAAGCAATGCTAGACTTTGTTTCTTATTTTGAAAACCTTATATTGACTTTGTTTTGGACAGCACGATTAAATTATAAATCCTACAGAGCATGTAAGAGCACCTATATGTTTTTTTACCTTAACTTTGATATCAGAAGATACAGTAACTTGTCCGAAAAGTCATCAGTGAAGAAGGAATGACAAACCATAGGAAAGAGGAAAAGATCCTTCTTAAACTATTTAAGAAATTGTATTTTTCAGTTTGTATTTTTTTTTTTTCCAATCAAAATGGGGATTGGTTTCCTTTTATTAAAAAAAGGAGTTCAGAATTTCTTATTTACCTTTAAGCTTGTTTGAAAGAGGAAATGTCCCGTCCGCAACCCCTCTAAAAACTTGGCAAGGAATGAATTTTAAAACTAATGATTCGTCAGGTGCAGACTTTGAATTGTGCACCTTCTATTTACTTGTATCTGTTGTTTCTTAACGTGTTACACAATGGACAAAACTAATTGTTTTTATATGTGTTTTGTTTTTGGTTTTTTTTGTTTCATTACATATTTACATATCTATAACAACAATAACATTATTAGTCTGTCTGAGCTAATGAATAGTCATGATAAATATACACTTATAGGCTTGGTAAAATATTGCAAAATTGTTATGTCTGTATTTAAAAAATCATATTTGTAATGTTCAACTTCCAGCTGCATACATCAACTTCATATGTATATATATTTTTTCATGCATTATATTTGTTGTTAAATTTATTGTACTATCATGTACCATGTGAGGCCTTTAGTAAAAAATAAAAAGTTTCAAAAAGTTTCAAAGTTTGCAAGTTCACAACAGTAAATTCGAGTAAAATTAATGATTGTAGTTATATTTCGACACTTTCTTGATTAACTATTCCATTTTTCATGTTCCTTTACTTTTGTAACATTAATTTTTAAGTGATGACAGGTTTTTGAAAACTTCCAAAGAAGAAATTTAAATATAACTTACTTTCATCTGAAACTTGGAACTTATAAATTGCTATCTATTTTCAAACACTCTTTTGATAGATGAAACGATACAAGTCTTTGTTTTACTTTCTTTGTATCAATATTCTTAGAAAGCATATGCACGGAAACTCAGTGTGTGTACATGTAGGTTGTTGGAACAGTTTTTTTAATATTAATTTTACTGTAAAATTAGACTTCAATCAAATTAATTTATACATAAATAAAAAGTATCTGAAATAGAAAGTTTTTACTATGGTGCACTGAAAATGTTGCATCAGTAATGAGGTTTAACAAAGTTATTTAGACTGAAGAACTTATAGATTCTTTGTCACTGTGTATGCTGATCATACGGGGAAAAAGAGTGATATCATACATCCTAATACAGCATCAATTGCGAAACAATAGCTCTCTCCTCTAGACATTTTAGTTTTCAAGATGCGAGGCTTGCCGATCAATATACATATTTAAGGTTTCACTGTTAAGAGTGGAGAAATAAATTATTGACAGAGATTATTTATGTATGGGAATGTTTCTCTGGATATTTTAAACAATACATTTATGTTTTATATGTGTTTGATTTAAAGTCTATGTATCCCTTTTCAAAATCATCCGAAAATAGTAGATGGAATGTTTATTGTTTGGTGTTCTTTTTTTTTTTGCTTTTGTAAAGTATGATATGGATGGAATTGGGTTTTTTTTCAACGCAGAGGTCAAGGTACCTATCTTTCTAAATAAAAATTCCTTAAAAAAGTCTAATCGTCATCTATTTTGTTTCTATTGACCGGGTTGCACGAAGTGAAGTGCAAATCCGACTGATATAATCATGATGTCGGACGAGCGGGCGGGCAGGCGTTGTAAGGCTGGTATCTTTTTGTTTTGTAATCAACTCAATATTCAGCCATTTTCAGTTTAGATTGCAGACATACAGTTGGGTGCAGACCAAGCATTACATGTAGACGCGCGGAAAAAAGTTAACGCGGCGTTTACTCGCGTGCACTTCATGTAAACGCTTGTTAATTCTGCGTTTACTCCAAAATTTAAGTAGACATAAAAAGTAAACGGGCGGTTACTTTCACGTTTACTTCCGCGTTAACGCTAAAAAGGCGCGTCTTCTAATTTTGTTCATAGTCCGTTTACTTCCGCGTTAACGTGAAAATGGCGCGTGTTCTGTTTTTCTTTGTAAAAAGTAATCGCACGTTTACTACTGCATGATGGGTTACCCTAATGACTGGACCAATGACAGGACAATGATAGAACAATGACAGGACAATGATAGAACAATGACAGGACTAACATGAAAATTGCTAATATCTTTTTTTAATCATTTGATTTATCTTAAATTTGAACTATAATTAAATTTAATTTTTTAATATTTAAATATAAAAAAAAAACGAAAAAATGCTTTCAAAACTTGCGGAAACATGACCTGATCAACGTTGACCAGACCATTATCATCAATAACAAGACCAAATGAACGTGCTAATAACTTTTTTTATTTCTCAAAGAATTCATCTCAAATTTTGAAATATAATTACCCAGATAATTGTGTACTTTTTATACCTCAGAATGAATTGTAAGACATAAAAGTGAAGTAATTTAAGTCTAAAATTGCAAAATTTGTTGTTACATAAAAAAAGGTGCCAATTTTTTCCATTCTGTTAGAATATTATACAACGTCATCAAAATTCTGTTCTTTTTGTCCCTAAGGATGAACAGTTTCACACAAATTGAGAGCTCTCTAAGTCTACGGTTACTAATATTTATGTCGATAACAATAAAAAGTGACAATGTTTCTTTTTTTTATTAATATTCTTCTACTTGCCTGATAATTGAATACTTTTTATACCTCAGGATGGATTGTTGGACATAAAAGTGAAGAAATTTAAGTTTAAAAATTGCAAAATTTGTTGTCGCATAAAAAAAACCGTGCCATTTTTTACCATTTTGTTAGAATATTTTACAACGGCATTAAAATTCTGTTCTTTTTGTCCCAAAGGATGATTAGTTTTACACAGATTGAGAGCTCTATGAGTCTACGGTTAATAATATTTATATCGATAACAATTTAAAGTGACAATATTTCTTTTTTTATTAATATTCTTGTACTTTCCTGATAATTGAGTACTTTTTGTAACTCAGGATGGATTGTTAGACATAAAAATGAAAACAATTTAAGTTTAAAATTGCAAAATTTGTTGTCAAATCAAAAAAACGTGCCAATGTTTTCCATTTTGTTAGAATATTTTACAACGGCATTAAAAATCTGTTCTTTTTGTCCCTAAGGATGAATAGTTTTACACAAATTGAGAATTCTCTAAGTCTACGGTTACTTATATTTATGTCGATAACAATAAAAAGTGACAATATTTCTTTTTTTTATTATTAATATTCTTCTACTGGCCTGATAATTAAGTACTTTTTCTGCTCATAATGGATTGTTACAAGTAAAAGTGAAGAAATTAGAGTTAGAATTGCAAAATCAATATAAGGTGTCAGTATTTTAACTTTTGTAAAAATATTATGTTACAGCATTAAAATCCTATTGTTTTGGTACATAAGAGCAGACATTTTTACACAAATTAAGAGCTCTATGGTTAATTATATGTATAGCGATAAAAAATAAAAATTGCAAATATTTCTATTTATATAATTAAAGCTTGTACCATTTTGTACCTTAGGATGGATTGTTTGACATAAAAGGGAGGGAATTATTTCAAAGATCTTTTCTTTTTATAAAAAAAAACAATCCCTTATGTCTGCAGGGATGAACAGATTTAATAAAATTGACATTTTACATCGTATATATAAATGTCGATTTTTAAATTCAATAAACCATGAACTATTTTGAAATACGGGTATTGTCTGAAAACAAAATATTGTAGATAATTTGATGTAGTCTGTTTTATTTCGAGTCTTGAAACATTGCCTAGCTAAATCTACCATAATGAATATCAATTGTTGTTAACATATAAAACTTTTTTCATGTTTTGCAGTATTTACTTATCCAAAAATTGCTGAAAATATTTTTTTAGCGATACTTTATTTTTTTAATATTTGCAATTTATTAATTAGCCAGAAAAAAGTATATCTACACTTTCCACAAATAGTTACGGGAAAAGTAAACGCGTGTTTTCTATGTGCACGTACACAGGTAAAGATGTAAAATCTGTAGTAAACGCCCGTTTACTACCGACTAAACGGACACAGAGTAATTGCGCGTTTGCTCGAGTAGACATTTCAAATTTCCATTTAAATCGCGTTAACGCAATTTTAGTAAACACGCGTTTACCGGTAAACGCGAAAATCGGAGTTGACAAATAAAATATGTGCACGCGGCGTTAACGTGCATTTACTTTATGTTATGGTTTGTCTGCACCCAACTGTATTCTTGTTGTGCCCTGATATTATGGAACTGTTTCAGTATTGTTGTCTTTACATTTTTATCTTCGGAACTAATAATTTTTCAGTAACATTTACAAATGCCGGTGCCTTTTTTCCGTTAGAATTAACATATCAATCAGTACACACCCAATGATTTAGGCGTTTTAACCAAGTTTCCATTATTTAAGATTTTTTTAAAGTAATATGGTCGGTTGTGCTTAACCATTTGACAATAGATGTTCATTGTACAGTGAATTGTATGAGCATTAAGCATTGAAACAATTTACTAATTTGAAGAACAGTTTTTAAATACATCTTCGTCGTACTATGAAATTTAAGCATATGACATGTTTTGATATATTATAGTCTTATCCCTCCGAAAGATTAATATCCATTGTTCCAGTTGAAATATGAATAAACTTATTATCTTAATGTCGGAAAATTCTATTGACTGACACGATGAAGATATCTTTTTGTATTATTCTTCCAATTATTAAATTGTTGCTTAATGCTTGCGAATAGTTTGAATAAAGTAGTTTGCCTTTGAGACAACGAATTTAAGATAAATAAGTAGACCAATAAAGCAAAATTAAATCCCGAAAATAGATGAAAGGGAATAAAAATGCAATTAAAGCAGGTGACATTGACCTTTTTTAATGCAAACGTGGACCGATCATAGCATGAAATTAAGTCATATTCAGGTCAATCAACACAAGCGTCAACTGAACGATACTGGTTAGGAACTAAGATGGATGAATTTCAAGGTTAATTTATTTGTGGTATACAAGTTTCTGGCAACTGAATTCATCCATGGGTTCACCTTCCTTTAAAATGTTTGATAATGAAGAAAGAAACGAAAACCTAGTCTTTTTGGGAACTAAATTGATGCAGGGTTTACAAAGTCATAAATATCCTTACTTTCATTTGGAAAAATGTAAAACTAGAGGCTCTAAGAGCCTGTGTTGCTTACCTTGGTCTAAGTGCATATTAAACAAATGACCCTCTCCAACTTTGTCATTTAGACTCTTTAGTCCTCTCTCTCTTCTTTAGTTTTTGCTCAAAACACAAAAAAAATCCTCATTTAAGGTCAAACTTGTTTTGATTATCATTTTTGGAATTTAAAGTTTCTCCCTATCTTTTATACTTTTCAATATAATAGGCAAAAATAAAAAAAAAATGGTAAAATTCATTGAAGGGCAACACCTCCTAAAAGAAGTCGTTTGTCAGTTTTGACGTTTGAGAACAATTGGTAGAGCTCAACATTCTGAACATTTTTGCTCATGTCGGATTTTTTCTATTTATAATGATTTTCAAAATAAAAGACAACACTTACATTTAACCCCTATGTTCTATTTTTTGCCATGTCGGACATCGTGGTTGGCAGGCGTGATCTTCGGACACATTTTTTAAAGTAGATACCCCAATGATGATTATGGTCAAGTTTTACATAATTTGGCCCAGTAGTTTCAGAGGAGAAGATTTTTGTAAAAGTTAACGACGACGGACGACGGACGCCTTCGGGCCAGGTGAGCTAAAAAAAATGTATTTTCTGTAGATGATGGCAACCTCTGTACCTTCCTGTAGTGTATGTGAATATCGACATATCTTTAAACCAGCTTCCATATGGTGTTCGGATTGCGACGAAGGCCTCTGTCTGGATTGCAAGGAGCATCATGGGATTTCCAAAGCAACAAGAAAGCACGGTACTATATCGATATCAGAATATCAAACACTGCCTGATTATATTACAAATATTAAGCAGATATGTAGTACACACGATAAAAAATATCAAATTTACTGCAATGAACATGAATGCACGTGTTGTAGTAAATGCATCGTTGAAACGCACACAAAATGTCAAAATATTGTCAATCTTTATGATATTGTCAAAAACGCGAAGACCTTAAACGCATTTCTGGAAATTCACGAAACATTACACGAAGTGGCTGAAAACATCAAACGGATTCGTCGAGATAAAAATTGCAATTTCAAAATGTTGTCCGAGAACAGAAATCAGATAGAATGCGAAATTCAAAAGGTTCGAATAAATATCAACCAACATCTCGATAAACAGCAAGAGAAATTCATAGCGAAATTGCATGAGATAGAAAAAAGAGAGAATAAAAAATCAGTCTGTTAATTAAAGCTTTAGATGAGCATGAAATTAAAGTTGCCGAGCACAAAAAGAACATCACATACATAAAACAATATGCATCAGATTTACAGACCTTTCTAGCTCTGAAACAACTTGAAGCCGATATTGATGAAAAATGTCAATTCATTGATTCACTTAGTGAATGTGATACACTTAATAGTGTCGAGATCAAGTTTAACATTAATTCATCACTGACAACATTACCAATATTGTTCCTCGGTTTGGAAAAATACATATTGACAAGTCAAGTCCTGGACTGCTTTCTATTGCGAAGAAAAAGCAACAACAAGCTCAGTTGATACTACCTAAAAACGTGCCTGTGTCACTTGAAGATATACAAACAAAGTTACAACACACTATTAAAACCGAACATTGTATTGTCAGGGGGTGTTCCATATTGCCTGGTGGTAGATTAGCATTTACCTATCCTATTTTGAGCAAAGTATCTGTAGTAAAAGAAGACGGGTCGATTGATTTTTCTTTGAGTGTAGCAACCGCAAATAGTGTAGCATACAACAATGAGGATAATACTTTAGCGATATCCTCCACCCTTTTCAATAAAATAACAATAATTGATTTAACGAAACGAAAAGTAATAAAAACTATTATTCCTAGTGGGAAAACCTCTGCCATTGTTGCTACCAATAACAAATTGATTTTCAAATATACAAAAAAGCAATTCAAGTCATGGATCTTACTGACGAATCAACACGTGATATAACTACTGATAACATGGACACAGAAATCAGCATAACAATATCTGGACACAAACTATATTATACCAGTTATGATTATCATACAGTTGAATGCTGCGATCTGCAAGGCACAAAACAATGGTCTTTCAAAGATGTTAATCTTTTAAAACATCCGTATGGAATATCAGCTGACAATGATGGTAACGTGTATGTTGTAGGGAATGGAACGAATAATGTTGTAGTTGTCGCACACGATGGACAAAAACATAGGGAACTCCTATCTATAAGAGATGGATTAACATCGCCATGTGCAATTAACTTTGAACGTGCAACTAACCATTTATTAGTTGCAGCTGATAATTATAAAGCATATCTGTACAAGGTATCCACTAATTAAGTAAATAAACTCATCATTAATATACCAGCTATTAAGTATATTTGATTACAATTTTGTATTTAGAGTAAATAACTTAATTGTCAAACATAGTTTATCTCCAACAATAACAAAAGGGAATGTTCACAAGTTAGAACAACATTAGAGACGTCCTATCCAAAGGGTTTAAGTGGTCATTTTTGTTACACAGTTAGCATAAGCTATTTAGTCTTACAAATGTACTCACAATGACTACTTGCTAGAATTAGACTATTTACCGGCTTTGTAATAACATGAACACGACGGCTGCCACATGTGGAGCAGGCTCTGCTTACCCTTCCTGAGCACCTGAAATCAACCCCAGTTTTTGGTGGGGTTCGTGTTGTTGTTGTACCCCTATTTGTGACATTTTGTTCACGAATCGTTGTCAATATAATGGAATTTGATGCGACTGTCGTACAAGTGAGAGGTTAAGCGCTATAAAACCAGGTTCAATCCACCATTTTCTACATAAGAAAATGCCTGTACCAAGTCAGGAATATGACAGTTGTTGTCCATTCGTTTCATGTATTTGTGCTTTTGATTTTGCCATTTGATTAGGGACTTTCCGTTTTGAATTTTCTTCGGAGTTCAGTAATTTTGTGATTTAACTTTTTGCTACATCAATATACATATTTGATGTTTGTTTAGTGTTACTGAACCATGAACTTAAAAATTTATGATCACTTTTGGTAAATAAAAGAAGCAAGGCCACGAAGAAGTATTTAGGTTCATCCAACGATTGTTTGGAATTTTTATCTATCAAAAGAAGTTAATGACAGCTTATTTCGAATAAGATGCAAGCAGATGTGACAAACGGTCAAATCTGTAGGATGTATTATATGTGAATACAGTTTCGAAAGGAATATTAGCACACCTGTACCTTAAGTGTTCAAGTAATCTGATCTAGCGTATCACGTGTGAAAAAGCATCAACAGATATGGTAACTGCATTACAAATATTGATAAGACTGCGTGTTCTTTAAAGCTTAAACAAAGGGCACTGTACATGACAGTTTTACTCACCATTCACAATTTCTTTAAAAGGAACTCGACAGTTATAAGATGCAAATTATAAAAAATATGCATATGTGAACAAGGTATCCAGAAAAAAATACGTGTAAAACAAATCATGATGCAGCTCAAAATGTATTATGATAATAATACATAAAAAGAAAAAAAAAACATATCAAAATTATTTATTTTGTAAAAATATTTCCTTTCTCTATTGGTACTGTACACGTATACCTAACAACAACATTATTTTCATTTACCTGTGTTTAAAGTTATTGCAAAAGGCTGATATTTTTGTTCGAGCATATTGTTTTTCTTTTAATTGTTTAACATTTCTTACCGATATAACATGTTACTTTTATTATTCTTCCCTAAGTTTATTTATTTTGTATTTACATTGTGTCATAGGTCAAATTTATTTGTTCAGTGTATGTTCAATGGTGTTAATATGTCCTTTGATTGAGTTAAGCTATTTCCGTTGATATTTTATAGTGTGTCTTTCTATGTTGTGATGTTACACTATTGTTTCAGAAAAAGGGTGAAGGTTAGATACCAATAAAACGTTTAAATCCGCTGCATTTGTTTGCACCTGTCCTAAGTCAGGAATCTGATGTTCAGTAGTTGTCGTTTGTTGATGTGGTTCATAAGTGTTTCTCGTTTCTCGTTTTTTATATAGATTAGACCGTTGGTTTTCCCGTTTGAATGGTTTTACACTAGTAATTTGTTGGGGCCCTTTATAGCTTACTGTTCGGTGTGAGCCAAGGCTCCGTGTTGAAGACCTTACTGTGACCTATAATGGTTTACTTTTATAAATTTTGACTTGGATGGACAGTTGTCTCATTGGCACTCATACCACATCTTCTTATATCTATATCTATTGCAATCAGTAGCCATCCGTCGTCTGACGACTGAATAACATTTTAGTATTTTACCCTGAAACTACAGAGCAAATATTAACCAAACTTGGAAGGAACGGTTTACTTTATGATAATTGTGTTTAATTTTCCAATTAGATGGATAAAATATATAGATGTCAGGGTCAGCTATTGATTCTGATTTATTTATAATTCAATTTCTTTTCTTGTAGCTTATGATCAAACTGTAACATTCTGGTACACTTGAAATCTGAATTAAATCCTTCTATCAGACGCCACTCCTTAATAAAGTTTTCACTCTCTCTTCTAAAAGTTATCCTTGCTGGAAGTCATGATTTTTTTCACACATTGTTGTCAATATAATGGAATTTTATGCGACTGTAATCCAAGTGAGAGGTTAAACTAGCTATAAAATCAGGTTTAATCCACCATTTTCTACGTAAGGAAATGCCTGTACCAAGTCAGGAATATGACAGTTGTTTTCTATTCGTTTGATGTGTTTGATCATTTGGTATTGCCATTTGATAAGGGAATTTCCGATTTGAATTTCCTTGGACTTTGTAGTTTTTGTTATTTTACTTTAACAATCAAGAAGAAAGAATATGCAATAATGCTGACGTCTTGGAAAATATTAATTTTCTCCATCCTTGACATTTGATCTTGATTTGATAGAGATTATCCTGTACGATTTTTTACCGCAAGGCAAAAAAGAAAATACAGATGGTGGTGAGCTTTCGAATGATATATGATTAAGCTGTGTGTTAGGTGGGTGCATTAAAAGTTCAATTGTGTGGTTGAAGTCACTCCACTAAAATAATTGCTTTAGATAAAACCACTACGTACAGGTAATTGTTATAAATTGTTTGAAATTAAATCAAAATCTTGATTCACAAATCAAGTCTCTTGAATTTTTTATCAAGTAATGCCTCCTACAAGACCAGCTTTATCATTTGTATTGTAAAAAGTCATTACTTTTTGTAATTTGAAAGAAAAAAATCAATTCAGAAGATTCTTAAAATAAAAATCTTCGTTAAATTTAAAATGTTTCAAGTCAGAATGATTTGGATGTAAAATTAAAAAAAAAGATCCTACGGGGGTAGTAGACAATGGTAGAGGTTTCTTGAAATGATGCAAAAATGAAAGTTATTAAGTATTAAAATCAGTTTTAGCATCAAAAATTGATATACATCGGTGTTTCGTGGGGACCAATGTTAAAAATTGTCTCAATCGGCTTGTGTAATTAACAATATTATTTAATCTTAAAATGGTATAATCAAATAAATACGCGATTTTCATATTTTGTACATTTTTCTAGGAAGAAATGGGAAATCAAATTCATATTCAAATACCTCTGCTGAAATAGATTTTACTGTGTGAAGGTAACCTTTATGATACACCAACGAATATCACTCGAAAGTCGAACCGTATATTAACTATGACAAAACACTCTTTACCCGGAAAGCTCAGAGCAGAGTGTTGCCAAAAGACGATTTATACGTAACGTCCAGTTTTTGTTTTCTTTTGCAGGAAGTTGTTTGTAGGTCAGATCTTTGATTGTTTCTATTGGCTTTTTCAAAATTGTTGTAGATTATTTCGTATTTGATGATTACCCAAAAAAAAATTCAATTTATTTTTTTTTTATAGAGACGGGTGTAATATTTGAGCCATAATTGTGATTTAAAATCAAAAAGGTAATTTATTAAATCTCTTTTAGCAAAGTCGTAATTATTATCATATTTTATACTTAAAATCATTGCTCGTTACATGCCACCAAGTGAGTTTTGAATATTACGATTTTAACTGCAATATGTTTTGCAAATGACGAGAACACTCATGTCAATAAGAAGTTTACACTAAACCACAATAAAAGTAGAAAGAACTTTTAGCCCTATTTGATAGCTCTTGATTAAAAAGTTACTGTATATTTGATTGCTAAAACTATTCCTATCAGCATGATTTTACGCTATTGATTGTATGTGATGAACACATAAGTCAAACAATTATTGTAGTAAATAGTTTTCATGCATATTTCCAATTTAACAACAATAACTTCTCTATATGTTATCATTTATGAGTTCAGTCTACTACGTTCACGCCTTTCAGAAAAAAAATATTTGTATTTCCTATCATGAATTCCTTGATAAGGGTTGCTGCTCACAAGGCAGCAATTAAACCAAGAGTTCCAAGTGGTGAAGTTGAAATCATCCCTTTGTAATAATATGGACGCCATTACGAGTTGGTTGATCGTTATGGAATATACGTTTCACAGATGATAGCGGATTTGTTCCAAATGTCGTAACTACAATCACATCCCCAATCCCCGAATGTGACCTACTGATTTAGACTTATTACCGGATCTGTACTAACATGAGCAGCTCGACGGGTGGGACATGTGGAGCAGGATCTGCTTACGTTCCAGAGCACCTGAGATCACCCACAGTTTTTGATGGGGTTCTTGTTGCTCAGTCTTTAGTTTTCTATGTTGTGTTCTGTTGACTACCCTTTGTCTATTTATCTTTTTCTTCTTTTACGCCATGGCCTTGTCAGTTTCTCTTCGACTTATGAGATTGAATGTCTCTTTGGAACATTCGCCTCTCTTTTACAGGAATATATTTCTGAAATATTTTGCAATCGCCTTCAGAGTTATAGGAAAATAAAATAAGCTTGTGGTCTTAGTGACAACATTGTAAAGCGCCAACTGTCTTTTATAACAACTAACGTTTGCATTGTCTGATTTAATTATTGTTTAAAAATGCAAATGCATGATTCAGGATCTATTTTTATCTTTATAAATACCATATCACATGTTGTTTTTCTTTCTTTCTATTTAATAGTATGGCCATTTGCATGTTTTGTACGTATTACATTACGCGTTGTATGATAAATAATTGTGTTTCCCTCTCTGTACCTTTGCTATTTCGTTTTAGAAATACAAAGACATTTTTTGAAATATTTTATTTTGAATTCGCACATCTTCTGATTTGTGTTTTAAACGTCATTGTCTGTTCTGTTGTATACATGTATATACAGCAACTCTTTCAATTTCTCCCAGTTGTGCGTTCTTCGCCGTGTGAAAGTTCTAGATTTCAGAAAATGAATTATCGTAAT